GTGGACCACAGGCCATTTCTTACATGCCCCGCTATGAAAACGAGGTATATGAGAAATGGATTCTTACCTCTAATAGGCAATTTATACTTCGACAGTTAGCTGGACCAACAAGAATCTAAGAGGAGTTTCTCATGAAATTTAGCAGGAAGGAAGTTATCAGGCCATGGAACAACTACTTTAATTTGTATTTTAATTTTTACACATACTCTTGAACAACCAATCGAGAGACTCCATTACGAATCCAAAGGATATGTTCATCTAAAGTGAAGTTGATGGGAAAATTTGTGTGTAAAAGTTGACGATTTGCTGCATGTCAGCCTCAAACCGGTTCAAATTCTGTTGTTTGTGCCTCAGTCAGTGTCCCAATTACGCACGACAAGATGGAAAAGTAGAAAAAGCCTAATCCTGTTACAGTTGTATTTCAAATCTGTTGCTGTGCAGTTACAGTATTGGGACATAACAGAAAATAGATGGACCTTTGATCTGAAGTGATGTCATTTAAATAGAGCTTTATTTTCCTAAATGAAGGGAAAATTGCCTTTTTGCAATACAAAAACCCCACAATAGATTGGACTCTAATCCCCTGCATCGCTGAGTAGCCATTTTTCAAGGGGAAAATAAAACATGATAGTAAAAGTCATTAGATAAGGGCTTTTTTGCAAGCCATGCCATTGTTAGAATAAACAGAAGTCAGCCTGTAGCAGAGCAAATCATCTTGGCCCTGTGCACTCTCACACATACATTATTTTTGTCATCAGGTCTCTACACTGTCCAGTGACTGCTGTAAAGAATTCAGAGCAGCAAAGTCAGTGTTATCTTTAAATAAATTTTTTGCAGACCTGCTCTATAGTGAGATATTTAGTTGAACTTACTTTGTTCAAGTTTCAAGGCAAGGTAGTATTTCCCGAGAAATGTATTCTTGGCAGAGTGGAAAAGCTTTTGAAGTACTTTCCAGAATTAGATGTCATTAAAGTTTCCTTTGAGACCAGAGATTATGAAAACATTACTTTTTGTAATGAAACACCATATATATTTTCAAGTTGGTTCTTTTTCTATCTACTTTCCGTATCTGCTTTTGCTCCTCTGTTTTTCTCTGCATCTGGCATCCTGAACTGAGGCAAAAACATGATTTTAACAGATGCAGCTTCATTGGAGGTGTCTGGCTGTCAAAGCGCACCTTATTGCTGCACATTAACCTTTCTACCATCTGTTTCACACCATACGCCCTGACAGAGTACGGATGACTTCAGGAGCTTTGATTACAACTCCTGGATTATTCATACACCATGTACATTTATTTTACAAGGTCCGGGCATGGGTTGGCTAGACTCTAGAGAATAGAGCTTTTGTCTGACAGTAGCAGGCATTCCTGGAAACAGTATGTATCACCAACCTGTGATGATGAAGACGTTCCAGGAATTGAGTTGAAATGAAATGTTGAATATACTCTACTTTTTTTAGATATTTAATTTGCCCCGACCCGTCTTGTCAAATTTGACCCCAGTTATCAATTTCCTACATTTGCTTGAATGCTCATTGATAATCCCATACAGCAGTATGTCGTACCTGTCAGTGTACGAAAAGAGCAATAGTGTTTTTAAGTCATGCTAGCAAAGTGGTTCTAGGAATGGAAATGTCCCCATTTATCTCCAGCTTTGGTCTACACTGAAATATATCACAAACTATGGACTGCCGTGAAATTTGGTTCAGACATTTATGGGTCATTTGTTTCTCCTTGACTTTAGATTTGACCATTAGACATTTTTGGGGTTTTGTACTATGTCATGAAAACTGTTAAATTGATTGCCATGAAGTCTGGTGCATACATTTATCATGGGTTCCCAGAGAATGAATCCTACAGACTTTGGTGATTCCTTGATTTTTAAATCAAGTGGCAACCTCTGGGGCTGAAGAAGTGCCAAAAATTGCAGCCCCTCAAATGGCCACTTAAATAAACATGTATACAGCCTTGTGCAAAAAATGGTTTTGGTCTCCACAGCTAATTTCCCCCTTAATGACAACTGTACTGGGGTGAATTTCTTTATAATTTTAAAAATTTGATCAAGGCTTTAAGTTATGCATAATTGGTGTGTCACTTTGAGTGACAGGTGGATGAGCGTATCCTTGCCACAAACCGGCATTCACCTAAGTCTCAGCTCCACACATGCCCCATCCTTTTGCCCATTTTTGGTTTAGTCGAGAGTTATAGGGGGAGTCAGGCGCTGCCAAGATGGGGACAGCAGAGTAGTAGTATATACAGTCTGTGTTTTAAATGTCATACAAATATTGGATGGATTGCATGAAATTTGGTAGCTATTCATGCTCACCTCAGTATTGATTGTAAACCTCTTAGTGATGCCCTGACTAGCGTATCATCATGTCAAAAATTAAATTTTTGACCAGCCAAGACTTTGATTTACTACCAAATACAAGCAAAATTAATGACATTCCCATCCATCTCATTTGTATTTTGTGTTTACTGCTAATTAGCGAATGTTCGCAGGTTAGCATTCTAAACCAAGTAGGTGGACATCAGAAAGTTTGTTATCATGCGGACGTTCAAAGCACCACTATGCCTAAGTATAGCATCGCAGAGCCGCTAGCCTAGACTTATAGTTTTGTGTTAGCATTGAAATTTTGCAAATGTTTCGTAAAACAATAAACAAAACATTAAACTATAAATTGGACACATGCAAATCACAATTATCGTGATTTATAGATAAAATGGAAGAGTAATACTTCTTTTCTCCTTTGCTTCTATGAGTATTCCAGAGCACTTAATGGATTTTTAAACAAGGTTATGAAACTCACTCAACGCTTAAATGGCATAAATGGAAAGTGATATTGCAAATCACACAAGAGAAAGGAATGCACCACAGCTGAAGTTACGAGATTTTTTTTTAAACCACTTTTTGAGGGTAATGTTGGTTGGATGAATTCTTAATCATATTGTTGAAAGTAAATAGATCTAAATGTAATGGTGCATGGCGGGCCAGGTCTTTCATTAAGAACAAATGGAGCAGTAACATTCAGGGAGACGAAATAGTACTGCCAAGCTTGTGGAATGCAAAACCTCAGCCATTTCCCCTCCGTTTGGGATTTCTCCTTTCTCTGTTTTCTGTTTTTAGTTCAGTCATCCTTTTTCTCTCTCCTGTCTGTTCAGGCTTCGCTCAAAGTTGTCCTTAGTTAAGCCTCCATCTACTTTATTAGATTAACATTCCTATTCAGTCTTGGTCACAGTCATAGATATTTGAAAGTGAATTCTTTCACGTACGTCCCACCCCTCCCTTATATCAAGTGCAGTGAGAGGACTGGGACAAAGAGCTGGAGAAAAGGAGCTGTGTGTGCATGTGTGTGTATTGGGTGTAAAAATTTGCAGAGTATGGGGTGCCTTCGCTTTAGGAGGGGCAACTTTTGTTTTGTATGTGAGCCCCTGTCCCCCCATGCCTTCCTCCTCTTTTTTGTCGTCTCTCTCTGTCTATGCCAACAAGGAGGAGGGGTTGACGGGTTGACAGACAGACGCAGCTGGAGTGCATAGAGGGAGCTAGTCCCACCCCACTAAGATGCCAGAGATAGAGCGAGAGACATAGACCCAATGAGAGGGAGAGAGAGAGAGAGGGAGAGTGTGTGTGTGTGTGTGTGTGTGTGTGTGTGTGTGTGTGTGTGTGTGTGTGTGTGTGTGAGAGAGAGTGTGAGAGAGAGAGAGAGGAGAGAGAGAGAGAGAGAGAGAGAAAGAGAGAGGGGAGGAGGAGGAGGAGAGAGAGCTGCTACACAGTTCCTGCTGCCTGTCTGGGAACCCTCCTCTCTGTTAACACACCTCCTCTTTCCCCCCTTTCTCCCAGCCCTGGAGGTTTTTGTTCTCTCCCTGGCTAACTTTTTTGTTGAGAGAGTGTGTGTGTGTGTGTGTGTGTGTGTGTGTGTGTGTGTGTGTGTGTGTCTGTCTGTCTGTCTGTCTGTCTGTCTGTGTGCGCAGTTCAGTTCAGCTCCATTCCTTTTCTTGGATTCCTGCTTATGTTAGAGAGGGGTGATTGTGTAGGGGCAACGGCTTCATCTGCCCCCCCCCATCTCTCTCCATTCCATACATCCATAGAGCATCTTTGCAAAGGAGAAAGCAGGGTCCCTTTTTCAGCTGTGTCGAACTTGCTTGTGATAGCCACAATTACACTGGATGTAAAGTGATTTTAGTTTCAAAATAAAAGCATTAGCCTACTATTCCCATAAAAAAGGAACTCGTGTCAATCATTATGCTTTCATACCCTGGGAAAAAATGCAAGCTTTCTGCTGGAAATTTTCAGCTGTACTGCGTTTGGTCATGAATCCAAATTCTTATAGCTACTGTTTTCTAGAGGACATGCCTCTTGTCAAGTCATAGCAAAACACATATTTGTTTGAAACAACTGTTAGTAATCCTTAAATATTAATACACAACTACTACTTTATCATGAATGCGTGTATCACTTGTGACCTCCAATACGGCCAATAGAAGGTGCATTATGTCACTGTTTTAGGAGAACAATCCGGGCTTAAACTCTCTATGTTACAAAAGTTAATAATGCAATAGCAATGCCTAAGAAAATCTGTCTCTAACTGTATGACTGTCTGTATTTAACGGACATGTAAAATTTGTAAGCTGTAACAAACCCTTTAATGTATTACTTACATGTACTGTTAACCACTACAGCGGCTACTATATGATGTTTAAGTACCTTAATGTGTATCTTGTTTTGCTAGGTTAGCTTGTGGGACAATTGTTTTGGATTGGGGACTTGGAAAACAACAATAACCTAAATATCTCTTTGCACCATTTCTTGTAACAACGTAGATTCAACCTACAACTTGAATAGTAAATGCTTTTTTCCCCTGGGTGTTTAAAATTTAACCCTTATTTTGTATACATCATTAAAGCTAGCGACATGTGTGGTCTTCGAGATTTAATTTTGAAAGGCTCAGCGCCACACTTCCTGTATTTCTCTCGCTAACTCCGTGCAGCTCGACACAGCTGAGTAGGGGATGGCTGCTTGCGTCTGAGCTGCTACCTCTGCGCTCACAGAGGGAAAACTCAACGTAAATAGACGAGGAAAGCGTGAGGAGACGAGAGGAGGAGAGGAGGGAAAGGAGAACTTTTAAGAGAGGTGGAAATAGTTGTCACACATATCCCCGGGAGGTTTTTATTTTTTCGGGAACGAAGGGGGGATTTTGGACCATGCCTGCTGAAGTGAAACAGGTTAGTGTTGCTGTTCCTGCCGGTCTCCTGTCTCTCCTCTCACCGTATCTTCAGCCTGTCTGACTTCTCGTCTTTCTCCTCCTCCTAATTGAATCCTGATTGCTTGGGTTTTGTTGCATGCTTCTCTATTTTTTATATCCTCACTCATTGTCCATTCCCCCCCCCCATAAGGTTTTAAATATATGAGAGCAGTGATTCTCAGATTAATCGATGTCCTTCAGGAGGATAGTGTGTGTGTGTGTGTGTGTGTGTGTGTGTGTGTGTGTGTGTGTGTGCGTGCGCTGTACATGCCTTTGCACAGGCTACTGCATGACATCAGATACAGTAAGGACTGTACTTACACCACTAAGTGACCATTTCATGCTGTAAATAGTCATGACCAGGAGTCAGTGTTGGTCCTGTGTGTGTGTGTGTGTGTGTGTGTGTGTGTGTGTGTGTGTGTGTGTGTGTGTGTGTATTGGGGGGCTCCCTTGCAGTAAAGCAGTGCGATGACTTATGAGTTCCTTGACACATTCATGGGCTCAGATGTGTCCGTACCACCTATAGAATGACTGCTGTGATCGTGGGACGAGCAGGGAAGTATTGAAAGTTTGTCACTGATCATCGCCTATGAGGCTCTGAATGGGCCTGGGTCAGGATTTATTGCCTGAGCTGTAGTTGCCAGTTGTGTGAGAGACATGGCATTAAACCCTTTTGTCTTTCACTTGCACAGATACCGCAGGAATGTGCTTTTGTTAGCTCTTGCGAGTGTGTTACTGTGTCTGTGTGGGTGTGTACGTACCAGGGCATGATGTGCATACATTATTGGATGTGTTCCCTGTGTTTGAAGCGCATCCACAGGCAGCCTACACCATCACAACGCTCTTTTCCCCGCCGAGCTTGGCAGCGCTCAGATGCACAAGAAAGGAAGACAGCTATCCAAAAAGAAAGTAAGAAAGTGGAGGAAAGAAAATCTGATTGAATAAGGTCAACTTCTCATCAGTGCCGCTATACTCCGCTGGGCTGAGAGGGGTGGAGTTACCAAACCCCTGTCTGGCAGACAAAAACATTCTGTCAGCTCTCCACCTTGCTCTGATAATAATATGTTAACAGTTTGCCCCCCCCCCCCTGGATGAGTGCCACCCGATAACTTGAGGAGCCTCTGCCAAAAAGAGAAGGCGTTTTTCTCCCTTACGCACTTTTTGTTCTTTCCATCCCTTGGTTTTGATAAGTTTGAAGGCTGTACTCCAAGTGGGGATTGATGGATCAAAAACAGGGCAAAGTTGCCCGTTGGAATCTGTTGACTTGGATTATGTGAATGGGATGAAATGCATGTCCACAACTTGAGAGCATGTCCTCTCCAAATGTATCCCAAAATGGGTCAAAGACTGTGACCCCCCGTAAGACTGAGATAGCGGGCATACTTCAGAACAGGCCGGCATCGTGGCGTGACCTTTTCAACTCAGCGTTCCACATTCCACAGCTAGAAAGCACCTGCTTTGGCAATGCTGAAGGAGAAGAGTGGTCAACATGTGTCCAAGTCACACTTAAGCCATAGATGGATCCATTTCAGTGTCACTTCTGTTGTTTTGGTTGTCGTTCTCTTTGCTTTTGCTCAGTTACGGCTGTTGATCCAGAACGCTACCGAAGAAGAGTGGAGTTGTCATTTGAACCCTTTCCAGCTGCCGCTTTTAGCAGTGATGCTCTACACTGTACTCTGTATGTCCCTCAGGGTATCCAGCAGCTTAAAGTCACTTTTTATACTCTGAAGAATGTATAGAAAAAGGGACGATGGGAGAGATGCTGCTCTGCCTTGACCCCCATCTTAACGCTGCAGCAGAGCTTACAGTAAATGAGTTTTAGCCCACTGCAGATTACTGCATAGCCCTCAATTAGTGGGGGAGCCTGCACCACACCACGTCTGAGTTAAATATAAACTGGTCTTTATTTTAGAACTTTACACCAGCAGGGTAGCGCCCCAAATCCTTCGAATTTAGTTGCTGAGGCCATAGCATCTTCTGCTCATGAAAAATAGAAGAACAGATTTGTCGTGAAGGAGAAAGGAAAACATTATGAATAATCCAGTAGTCATCATCTTGCCAAGGTCTATCAAAACACCGACTTTACTTTTCCTCCGCAAGCTAGAAGGACCTGTCTGAATAACAAAATAATTCATCAGTGATTCAGCCAAAGACTAAAGAAGGTCTTGTCTTCAGACTGTGGGTTACTGCCAGATTCCTGACAGCTAGCGGGGCTTTCAGCTGCAGCGACTGAGCGTTCCCCCCTCTCCGATGCTGTTTGATTCCTTACCGAAATTAAAAAGCCGTCAAACTTCTCTCCATATTTTTTTTCTGCGGGGGTGTTTTTGTGTGACAACTCGACCGTCCTTGTGTATTCTTTTCCATTCCTTTCCTTCAGGCTCCCCTTTTGTGACTGCTGAAGATGTGCAGATCAATATTTGAAGACATTTAGAGCATGAGGAGTGGCATTGTTTGGGGAGTGGAGGTCATACAAGTATAATGCCAATGACCGGAAACATATGAGCTGTCAATGGCTGTGGAGAGTGCATCAGTGCAGGGGGCATTTACCATGGGGGTTGGGTGTAAGTTGGGAGTAGGGGGGTCATGAGTGCTGCTGTGTTTTGAAGGCGAGATGGTCTTGGAAGTGGTATGATCATATGGCGTTAGGCGCCTGGTGACTGGTGATACCAGATGGCCTGTTATTGCAGCACTCTACATGTATGTGCTCCTCAGTCGAGCGTGCAAGAGCCCCGTCAAACAGTTTATAATACCTCTCTGTCATGGACTGGACTGAAGTTCCAAACAGAAATATGTTGGCAAAAAGCTTTATTTTGCTTGCTGTCTCTACAAATTCTTGTCATTCTAGTTATTTTTAATATCAAATGTGTCATTAGCTCAGCAGGCTTATGTGTTTTTGTAAAACCACTGTCCTCAGATAATCAAGCAAAAAATGCCAAGTATTTGTTGATTCCAGCTTTTCGGATGTGAGGGATCTGCTGTTTTTCTCTGCTTTATATAATTGTAAATGAAATATATGACAAAGCAAGCAGTTTGCAGGTGTCACCTTTGGCTCTAGAAACGTCTGTATTCTGGGCAAATTTATTGTTCCCCATGTTTTCGAGCATGCTCCCCAATTGTCTAATTGATTTGTGAACTAATTGTTCAAATCTAAATAAATCAAGATTAATTCATAATGAAAATAATAATTGCACCCCTACTTTGTACTGTATATTGTAAAGCGATAGTCATTTATTATGCTTCTTAAATCTCGGATACAGTTACTACAGTAAATCTCCCGATGCAACACTATACCAAACATCTGGTCTGCCAACTGGGTTTAAACAAACACTAGGATATATGTGCAAATGCTATTTGACCCCAGCAAGTATTACACTGTACTAAACATAGGACACTGTATGTTGTTGCTGTGGATCATATGAACACACCCTGAAATTTTTGGTGTTTACTCTGTGGTTGTGTTCTGTGGAACACTAGGGGTCTGTGCCACTCAACCCATGGCACTACAGACCCGGCCCGCCCCCGCCTTGGCTTCCCCTCTCTGCTGTCCTAACCCATTTGGCTGGCTGACAGTGTGACCGATGCAGGCTCGCACTCGTTCACTCACTGTCTGACCACTGGCGAGGACCATAATGCTCTCTCAGCTTTCATCATCACGCTGATGGAATTAAAAAAAGGTGAGTGGCAGTAAATTGGAAGGCTGGAGTGGGTGCTGCAGATGGATGCTCTCATACTGCTATGTTTGGAAATGGCACTGGGGAGAAGAAGCAGCGCATTAATGAGACGGCAGCTTATTATCTTGCTTATTTTGTGTGTGTGTGTGTGTGTGTGTGTGTGTGTGTGTGTGTGTGTGTGTGTTGGGGGGGTGGGGTGGAGGTGTGGTGTTGCCTTGCAGTAAAGCAGTGCTTTGACTTATGTGTTCCTTGACACATTTGTGGGCTCAGATGTTTGTACCACATATAGAATGACTGGTGTGATCATGGGACAAAAAGTGAAGTACTCAGAGTTTGTCACTGATCTGAAGCCTGTGAGGCCATCCAGCCTTACAGTCTGCCTGCTATCAATAATGTGTGCAGGGTGCATGTAGTATGAAGCTCGTATGCATGCATATACAGTATTTCATGCACATCTTAAATTGTGTTTCCCTGGGTTACATTATATACAATTAACTCCCAATAACTTAATGACTTGGCTCGTACTGAGTTTTTGTGTTTTCCCTGCTGCCAAACATAGTAAATCGTCCAGAGATGAGGTGTAGACACGGCGTCAGTCCACTCTCCCTTCAGCACACAGATGCATACACATGCTAGAGGCTACAGAGGAACATCAATTGGATCCCTGGCTTATTTACTCACTCTTTGTCTGCAGGTCACAGACAGGGTAGTCCTGTTTATAAGGGAGTGGGATTCATGGGTTCCCCCGTCTGTGTCTAATAAACACCTCCCTATCTGTGCTGCTGGAAGCCAGCAACAAGAGCCATGTTTTTGATCGGGTAGATAAGAAAGCCACTTGCCCCAGAGTAAGCAGAAAAAACTCTGTCACACTGCGAAAGAGGCTGACCAGAAGTAGAACCCAGTACATTTTAAATAAAGTTGTGCTTGCAGCCATATCCAGGCTGTAATTATTATAGAGACAATATTTACACAATAATCTCATATCCTACTGGTGGTGTGATTACATAACAGCAACAGTTTGGTTATTACACAACCTGATGCTCTAATTTAAGAGATATAAACATCATTCTCCTGTTAGAATGAAACCATGATCAGTAAGGTCTGATTATTACTGATGCTTGTCAACAGATGTCCATAGTGCCAATAACAGTGAACAGTGAGTTACTGAACAGATTAAAAGCAGGTGTATACAGGAGTGGACTCCTTAATGACCCAGTCTGCTGTCATCTGCACTGACTAAAAAGAGCTGTGGGTGTGTTTTCGTATGCATGTATGTATGTGTGTGCGTGTGCAGGTTTTGCAGTGCATA